TGGGTGATGGGGAGGGGGCAATATACAAGAAGGGAGAGGAGAATGGAAGAACAAAGCAAATGGGAGAACAATTAGGCAGGTTTTAATGGGCTAAGTGGGACAAAGGTAAATAATGATGTATGCACAACCTTGGAACAACTGGGCTCTTGGATACAGAGATTGAGACATGGTTGTGATAGAATCTCTTATCCATGTGCATAATAAAATGGCTGCTTGCTTCGCTTTCACTCTCCTTCCCGGAACGTCTCTTCCAACTTACCGGAACTTCCTCTCTCCCTACCTGCAAGGCATCCCTAGTCAACCTATCACCTACCTCCACTAATCTCAACTCCACCCTCCTCTTTAACCAGTATAAAAGTCCATATCCTGGGAATACTCTCTCTCGCTCTCTTTCCTCCCAACTTTCAATAAAGCCTTACACGTGGGTTTTTGTGTTCCGGCTCATTCCATCTCATATTTATGATGCCGAAACCCGGGAGGGACTTTGCAAGGACCCGCGATGATCCCCAGCTCTCGGGTTGATCTGCTTCCTGGCTGTCCCTCCTGAACCTGCCGACCAAACATCCACCCAGGGGCCCTCATCCATTTCCGTTGCTGACTTTTACAGCCACACACCAATCAACAATCTCAGGGTGTGTGTTTAGGCAAGTCTCTCTCTATCTATCTATCTATCTATCTATCTATCTATCTATCTATCTATCTATCTATCTATCTATCTAGTCCTCTGCGCTGTCAAGTCTAAGTCCTAACGTTAGGCCAGACGGACTCTTTTCGGCCCATGGCCCAGGATTGCTGCTCTCAGGGGATGCCCCATTAGCTCAATTCCTCTCTCTTCTTTCAGGGGTCTGGCAAGAGAGACGAGGATGCTTCTCTCTTTGCCCTTCTCCTCGGAGGCTTCCTGATCCTCACCTTAACTCTCCGGCCGTAATTATAATGGGAACCTCACCGTCTAAACCTCCTCACTCCACAACCTTAGGCTGCCTCCTGCGCAACCTTAAGGCACCAGGCCTACAACCCGATATCAAGCCTCGACGCTTACTCTTTCTGTATTTAAGAAAATGGTTCCTAATAACACCCTCAATTTTAACATCCTTCATGACCTTGATAACTTATGTCAGCGCAGTGGCAAATGGCCTGAGGTCACCTACATGTATAGGCTTTCTTTTCTCTCTGTTCTCATCCTTCTTTCTAGCTCAGTTCTCATCCTTCTATCTCTGTTCTCATCCTTCTTTCTATCTGACTTGCTCCCCTTTTCAAATCCTTCTAGCCCATGAGTAACCACTCCCCACCCAAGGCCCAAGCTCCCTCCCAGACTCTTTCTCTTTGGACCCATTGGACCATGCCCATCCCCCACTTACACTCTCCTCTCCATACAACCCTTCCTCCTCCACCCCGCCTACCTCCTCTTCCTGCTCTCCTTCCTCCATGGGCTCTGTTCCACCACCATCTGGGGTCAAGCCTCACCCACTCAGCTGAACCCTTCCTTTCCACCACAAACTCGGTCCTGAGACCACTATTATCGACCCCAAGACCTGCCACTGCCTGTACCCCTGATGCTATTACGCATGAGGCAGCTGGGGCAGAGAGCATTGTCCGTGTCCACGTTCCTTTTTCCCTATCTGACCTCTCACAAATTGAAAAGAGGATAGGAAATTTATCCTCCCATCCAGACACCTACATCAAAGAATTCAAATACCTCACTCAATCCTATTACCTCACCTGACATGACTTCTACATCACTCTCAGTTCTGATGAGGTCCATGCTATGAGCAATGAAAAGCCAGTGGGAGCTCAGGCAGTTTTCCCAAGAAGATCCCTCTTGGGATCAACCAGGCCACACCAACCGTGGACTTAGAGATCATATGATTCTTTGCATTGCTGAAGGCTTAAAGAGAACTGCTCATAAAGCTGTCAACTACAACAAGATTAGAAATATTACCCCAAATTCAGAAGACAATCAGGCCCAATTTCTATCACATCTAATGGAGGCTCTACAAAAATACACCAAGCTAGACCCAACATTCCCAGTAGGCATAACAGTTATTAATTCATCTTTCAGTTGGCCCTAGACATAAAAAGGAAACTAAAAATTTTTTTGAGGAGGGTCCCCAGGCAAATCAATGGAACCTCTTAAATGCAGTCTTCAAGGTCTATAATGGTAGAGAAGAACAGGAAAAACAGGATAAGGCCCAAAGAGACAAGGCGAAATACCTGTTACTGGTCAATGCTCTACAGGGTTCCAGACCAACAAAGGGGTATAACAGAATACCCTCTGGGGCACCGCCCGGGCCCTGCTTCAAGTGTAAGCAAGAGGGTCATTGGGCAAAATACTGCCCCAACCCTCATCCTCCTGGCCCATGCCCTGCCTGAAAACAGAAGGGACATTGGAATGTTGATTGCTCCTTTCTCCAGAGAGGGAAGGGATCAATAGTCCCCCAGTCCCACCAAGCAAAGGGGTTTGCTCCACCAGAGCTTCTAGGGCTGGCCACAGGATTGAAGGTGCCCGGGATCGCTGGCCCCCACGGAAATAACTCACAGAGAACCCAAGGTAACGGTTCATGTTTCAGGTAAGCCAGTCTCTTTTCTATTAGATACCGGGGCCACTTACTCAGCTATACCACAATGTTCAGGGTGGACACACCCTACCCCTACATTAATAGTTGGGGTTGACGGAGTCCCTACTCGGCCCATCATCACAGAACCCCCAGCATGCTCACTTCATGACACCCCATTCACACAAGCCTTTCTAGTCCTACCCAAGTGTTCTACACCAATCCTAAGATGAGACATTCTAGCCAAGTTCAAATCTACTCTCATACTATACCCTATTAAAACTGCCATGCCTACCTCACCGCCTGGCTTGTTCTTGCTGTATGCTGCATCAGATTCTAAGCACTGGCTAAAGACCTCTCTGACCTCAATCTCTCACCCAGTACCTTCCTTCAATATGTGGATGACCTACTTCTATTAGGTCTCCACACCACCTCCAATATCTGCTCACACAAAGCAAACCTCTCCCCTTTATGCCTTCAATTATTCTATATGATTTTCATTGAAAATCCCAACTTTAAATTAGAATCTAGCCACCCTCTCAACCCTACCTCCCTCCTCCCTATAATCACAAGGGATCTCTCTCACTCATGTACTGAAGCTCTATATCATCTCCCTCCTCTACACCACATCTCCTGCACCCAGCTGTCCCAGTCCCATCCGGATCACACATGGTTCACTGATGGCAGTTCCACCACTTCACCTACAGACCAATGCCAGGCCAGCTATGCCATTGTATCCTCAGACAGGGTAATTGAAGCTGTGTCTCTTCCCTTTAACACAACCTCCCAAAAGGCTCCCCTATAAACAAAAGTTCCCTAGTCTTACATCTACTTCCAGCAGCAAAACTCCCAACACGAGCATAAGTCCTACACTATAAGAGTCATCAATCCACCAATGACCCCATCTCACAGGGAAATAACAAGGCCGACCGCAAAGCAAAACGAGCGGCCATGCTCCCACCTCCATCCACACAAATGCTTGCTGCTCTCCTTATAACATCCCTCTATAACCCCCTTGAAACACAAAGAATGGCTCAAACAGGGAGCCACCCTCTGGGGACTGGCTTCTCCCCAGGTCACAGGCCACACGCATCCTCATGGATACCTCCCAACCTCCTCACCCCCACTTGCTGACTATATCCCAACCCTAAGTAAGGTCCATCATTTGTTGGAACCCACGCAGACCAATTTTTACCCAAACCTCACCCAATGGAACAACACTTCCAGGTCCAACCTGATGACCAGGTGGGCCAGGATCTCCAGTGGTTCTTTCCAAGAGCTCCTGACACTCCTGCTCTGGATCAAAGACCTAGTTCTCCAAGGCACTCTCTCAGACCTCTCACCAGAGGAAAGCTCTCTGCTGACAAGTCTTTCTCCTCTCCTGGCTAGCCCTATCGCCACATACTCCCTTAGACATACCTCCATGTGAACTTGCCACGTGGCTTTCCTCGCCCCCTTCAGGCACTATATCGTCCTTGCAGTAGGCTTCTTTGTCTCACCCCCAAGTAGCCTCACCATTCTTGAATACTCTTCGCCTTACTCTTTCTCCTTATAGTGGGACTTGTCATCATCCCAGTATGCTCTCTGTACTCTTTATCTCAACCTTGATGATCAGATCGTGCCTTAGCCAAAATGGCAAAACATGCTCGACCCCTCATACAGCCACAGATTGCTCCAGTGTCCTAACCTTTATGCACTCTGCCTGCTATCTGGGACAAACACCTGTAACCAAGCAGTTATGTGGAATCAGAGTATAGTACCTATCCAAACTCTCTAACTGCATGGCTTCCGAATCCACAGCTTTCAAAAGCACTAAATATGACAATGTTCCACTGCTACTCATAAATTCAAAAGTGACTAGACATACCTCTCCTTCTAGTCTGTCTTAATCTGGAAGCTCCACTGAAATCTGCCCCTATGGGTGGCCCTGTTGGTATTCAAAATACTGGAGGCACAGCTTCCAGCATCACAGCAACACCCATGCCACCACAGTACAATAAACTGACAATCCAGAGGTGAGTATGGAGGATGTTGTTGTTGTTAAGTGCCGTCGATTTGGTTCCGACCCATAGCGACCCTGTATAGGGTTTCTGAGGCTGTAAATCTTTACGGGAGCAGAAAGCCTCATCTTTCTCCCACAGAACAGCTGGTAATTTCGAACTGCTGACCTTAAGGTTCAGAGCCCGATTCGTAACCACTACGCTACCAGAGGATATATCTGCACATTTTTCCGAATATATTACTACAGAGCATTTTATATGAACTCAATAGAGTAAAGGCTATACAACAAAAATTGTGTCTCATTACAATTAAAGCTTATTTCTTTACAATTATATTTAACACTATTACACAAAAGCAAACTAAAATTAGGTTTGGTAAGTTGACTTTATCAACTTCATCTGCTTGTGAGGCAATTTATATTAGCAAACAGAATAAAGCTATACTTACACTCGTTACTTTCCGGTATATTTGAGCTGCATTCTGACACTCAGAATAAGGGTACTCTGAAGTAGCCATTTCCAGCATACACATTCCAAAAGCATAGACATCTACAGATTCATCATAGTGTTCCTCATACATCTCTGGGGCCATGAACTCAGGAGTTCCTAGAAAATAACACCAAAACCACATTTTATTACAGAGAAAAATGCATTCACCAATATCACACTCCCTTTAACATAAGAATTACCCTGAATTAATTTTTGCTTCCTAGAGGGAAACTTATAAAACTTATATCTCTTTAAAATACTTAACTTTCCCTATTGATAAATTATAATTTATTATGAAATTTATCATAAAATATGAACTTTTTTTTATTTATTCAGATTTTTCTAATTAAATTACTAAACTTTAAATATTTAAAATTTCAGACTGGTTCAATAATCTTAAATATATGCCACAAAAGAAATGTAACATATCTCTGAAATAAACCAATATATAATAGATATTTCAAAACAAATTCACATTCTAAGCCAGGGGTAAGTACAATTTCTCTGCAAAGGATGAGAGAATAAATAAATAGTTAAGACTCTGCAAGCCATATAGTCTATGAAACAACTATTCAACTCTGCCACTGTAATGCAAAGAATCATAGGTAACAAGTAAACAAAAAACAAAAACAAGTGGTAGGTCAGATTGGATAGCTCATCCTTCTTTTAAATCTATGTGTTGTTGTTAAGTGCCATCGAGTCAGTTCCAACCCACAGCAACCTTGTATGGGGTTTCCAAAGACTGGCTAGTGAGCATGAACCACCAACCTTGCAGTTCAAATTTATTTTGCAGTACAGTGCATTAACCTACAGCGCCATACTATAGAATTGAAAAAATATCTCTCTTAACCTAACCAAAAAACAGTAAAACATTAATTACCAATAACGCTCTTAGCAAATGATGTACGCATTAAGGTGGCTAGTCCTAGATCACCAATCTTCACAGATCCAGTGGGTCCAGTGATGAAAATATTATCACATTTCAGATCCCGATGAATGATAGGAGGAGTCCTAGTGTGCAAGAACTGCAACCCCTTCAAAATTTGCCTGCACCAGCTCCTCAAGACCTTTGGTTTCATGACTTTAAATCGTTTTAAGTACCTACACAAAGAAACAAACAAAAAAAACCCACAGATAAATAAACTTGTATGCACCTTACTGTATATGCAGTATTATGGTAAATCACAGAAGCTAGCTGAAGCTTTATGTACTACAATTAACATCAATGAGCTATTTCCTATTGCCTCTTATGACATCTTTCCTTAATAAGACACCCTACCAAATTTAGTATTTTAAAATTAAAATAACAATTATAGGTAGCACCTGACTTAGGAAGTATTCAAGTTATGATTAACAGCACTTACTACTACCATCATTAGAACATTCTATTTACCTAGGAGAATGTTACAGGAAAATGAATGCAGGAGATATGGGTAAATTTCTGAGTTATGTGAACATACTCTAAGCATTTGATCAACATAATATGATGGAAGAGATGGGTGGAAAATAGACCATATGGCAAGAATGCTAAATTTAGAACTTCATACCCCGAATGTGGAACAGCTCAGAGACTACAAAGGAGAATTGACAAATCAGACTTAATAGATTTTGAAGAGCAAGAAATGTTAAAAAAGAAAATAATAAAGGAAGAGCAAGGAGAGAAGCTGTCAAACTTTTACAGTGAAAAAGATTAACTGAAGTTTTCTTTCTGAACTATACCCAAGGCCTCAGTTGCTTGAACACATGGACCTAAACTTTGATCACTTTGCTAAAGATGGTAGGCTGATTCAGGACACAGTGAGATGATACTAAGAAATATCATGAGGGGAAAAAAAAAAGGACCACAGAGACAATGCTCACTAACTTCAGACAAGAATTACCATCTTAATTCCAAGGGCAATTCAGGAGAACCAGAACCATTCATAACTGGAGTTATTATCACAACTGACAACATTCCAGCTTTTTTTTAATCGTTGGGAGTAAATTTTTTATTATTTAATTATGTACATAATAAAGTATGTTTGCAAGTTTATATGTAATATTTGTAATCTCCAAAGATGAATAAGATATTTATAAAAATATTGATAATAAAATGCAGCAGTAATGAAGACTAAAAAACTAACTTGTAAAGAAGTTGTCAGAACAGAACCCAATCGGAAATCAGGGACTTAATGTACTAGAATCAGAGTGGCATTTTATGGAAGGTTGTTGTTGTTGTTGTTGTTAAGTGCCGTTGAGTCAATTCCGACCCATAGCAATCCTGTATATGGTTTCCAAGGAGTACCTGGTGAGCTTGAACCACAAACCTTGCAGTTCAAACGGCTTTGCAGTTAACACTGGTGCATTAACCCACAGAGCCACACCAGGACACCATTTAAAAAATAAATTTCTCTCTATTCCCTAATAATTGCTTGGAAGATTTAGCTATATAAAATTTTAGTGCAAAGAAGCTAGGAAACAAAAAATGTAAGACTCATATTTAATAGTTACAAGTAAGTGATTAAACAATCAAATAAAAAATGGTAGTTAAAAACAAAACAGAAACTATGATTATATAGATATGTGAACTTGGCAAACTCATCAACCTTTCATTATCTTTTATAAAATGACATATTATCTCTACCTTGATTCCCATTCTAAAATTCCATGTTGTTATTATGTTGCTAAGTGCCGTCAAGTCAGTTCTGACTCACAACGACCCTGTGTAGAGTGTCCAAGGAGTAGCTGGTGGGTTTGAACTGCTGACCTTGTGGTTAGCAGTCCAGTGCTTATCCTACAGCACCACACCAGGACTCCAAAATTTAATGATATCCTATAAGTACTAATTTTCAACACTATATTTACTAACAAACTTCATATTTTTTAAAAACCCACAGCACCACTAGAATCACATTCTACAAATTCTTTAATCAAAAATATTATCTTACAAACAACTTTTAAGACTCCCAAAAATAATTTCTGAGAAAAACTCCACTGATTCCATCAGCGTCTACTTACGTCTTTAATGTTCCTGATGTCATTAGTTCAGTCACTAATACAATACATTTCTTTCCTTTCAAAATAGACTCCCAAGAATCATAAAATCGAACTATATTGGGATGTTGTAGACCCTTCAACATCTCTGCTTCTTCTTTGAATCTTTGCTGTTCAGCTTTGGTTAATTTCCTGTCCTGAAATGGAGAAACAAGTTCCAAATTAAAGTTACAGAAATTCTCATACACATTCCTGCTGTTATTGTTAAGTGTCTTCTAGTCAGTTCCAGGAATGGCTGGTGGGTTTGAATTGCCAACCAGTCCAATGATTTATACTATTGCACCATCACAGGACTCCATGCACATTCCTGAAACCACACAAATGATTTTTATTTATTTATTTTTGTCTGTCAATTCATTATAGATCAACTTGATGGCAGTGGTGTGGGTATATGACCACTGATCTCACACAGCAGTACAGCAGTTGCTACATTTCATAATTCTATTATAAATCCAACTACATAAAAAACAGTATTCCAAAATTAGTTGGGAAAAAAAAATGGGTAAGAGAAAATGTTTCCCTAAGAAAGCCCTGATATTCTACATCTAAAGGATGTATAAAGTCAGGGTGCTAATAAATGAAAGTTAGACATCCTGAGATTTACCCATTAAATTTCTGAACTGCCAAAATGAAAGCACTCCAGGTTTCCAGACAAAAATCATTTTACCAATCAGTAAAAAGATCTTCAAACAGTCATTGGACCTATAATCTAGTACATCAAATGCTGTTAAGGTGAATGAGCAAAGTTTACAAATTCTGAGAGAGGACTGTGATCTTAAATTCTAAACACAAACAATTGATTTATAACATTTCTAAGAAAAAAAAATTCACATTTATACACAATAAGGACACAGAAAGTATACCATCACAATTTCTGAAAACAGTACTCAAAAAACTTCAGTAAAATTTGGTAAGAATAAAAAGAAGTTAGTTAAAAAAGAGCAGCAAGAAATCTAAATACACCATTCCATGTCCCAAGACAAGTCAGTTAGTCCACAACTGACTTCTTTTTGAAGTACAAGGAAAGAGACTTCAGCTGTTTTTTAAAGCACTTACTATACAGAAGATATGAATCAGATCTCACTGCCAGTTTGTCATTAGTGATTCTCTCTGCTTAATAAGCAAATACAGAAATTAAAGCCTTGATGTGGAGAAAAAGATATACTTAGGTATTTATCGTTTTTATAAAGCAATACTCCTGGATAAACTGCCTCATATGGAGTCCTGGTGTAGCAATGTAGGATAATCACTGGATTGCTAATTACAAGATCAGCAGTTCAAACCCACTAGCCACTCCTAAGAAACCCAGAATTGACAGGATCCCTATGAGTCGAAACACAAAAAGGAAGATGTGGCAAACAATATTTTATCTTATCGGTAAGAAATTTCCAATAAAGCTTATGTAAAGTGAAGCCTAAGTAATTACGTTAATGTAATTGTAAAACACAATGGATTGTCTAACATTCACTAAAATAAAGGATACACAATACAAGAGGAACAGCTTAAATTGCAAATTACATCATAAAACATAATAAAGAAGGAAGAAAGAATTTAGAAAATAAGATTTCTGTCTTGTAAAAGGGAAAAAAGGAGAGTGATAGGGCTACGTAAATTTTGGTAAAGAAACAAATTCAAGTGTAATTGATGGTTAAAAATTTGGGTCTGATAGTCATTTCAAGATGGTTGATTAAACACATTAAATGAATTCCACTGCCTTCCCAAATCTCAACAAAATGACAAATGAAATTTTAAAATATATCCTGAGTACTGATGAAAATATGAGAAGGGTTCAAATGGAAAATATGGTTCTAAAAAATAAATATAGACCTTCATAGGAATATATATATATATATATTCAAAAGCTTTTATTCTGAATTAAGTGATAGTATACATGGGAGAACATTAGTTTTGCATTCAACCAATCATATTTTGTTTCATTGCAATGATTACATTCCCTATATGAAATGATTACAATTCCCTAAATGCTCCATCAGTTAACAGTATTTGCCTCTATTCCCGACCCCCCCCCCTTTTTTTTAATGTACAGACAAACACAGAGGAATATATAATCATTTAAAACACCAAAGGACACATTTTGATAGTCAGACTCCTGTCTGCCAGCACAAAGCATTTCCCTTTCCATGAGTCTACAGTCCTCAGCTGCTCTCCGTACCATCACGTGTGCCTCCTTCTCTCGTGTCCCTGTTTCTCTGGTTAGGATCCCATGGTCTACTCATGGTCTTCCCTCTTGATGGTCCTAGGGTCCTCTGTTTCAGAAATGTAAGATTAACTATTCCCACCCTTTTTGTTACACATCTTCTACCTTTACAGTTGTGACAATGGCATTTAGTCATGATAACAATTACTCACTATTGAATCAAAAGAATCCTATCCCCAGCTCCTTTAACCAGACCTACCTAGACAAGATGAAAGCTATCCGGTGGGGACTCTCTCTTCCCCCACACAATCTGAAACTAAACCACCTTTTGAAAACTTGTAAGGCACTTTGTGCATTTATAACTACTCCACTTTAGGTATCTAACATCTAAGTTGCCCATCCCTATCAACCCTGTGTACTGAGGGGATATGCTTGCTCCTTGATACAAAGACTCCTTCCCTCTTAGTTGGTATTTTGAGCTACTATATAATAGGAATAAATGTTTTATGAAATGCAAGAGACTAGAAGAAATAGAAACTTGATAGAAGCAGAAGGACTTACACACCAGTGCTCTGCAATTTGTTCTTTTTTTAAAAAAAAAAAAAAAAAAGCACCTTTATTTATATCATTCCTTGGTCTATATAAGAAAATGCAAAACAAGAGATTCATCAAGCATCATGGTTTGTCATTATGAAAAATACTGAAACAACTAAAAAGCCAATAATAATGTTATGATAAGCCAGGCATTATTCTAAAAGTCTCATATATATTAACACATCAAACCCTCACAATTAGTAACCCTGGTGGTGTAATACTTAAGTTACTGACTGATAATCAAAAGGTGAAAGTAAGGAAGTAAAGTAGTTCAAACCCACCCAGTGGCTTTGCAGGAAAATGAGACCTGACAATGTGATCCTGTAAAGGTTTCACCCTAGTAAACCATATGGGGAAGGTCTACTATGTCATATAGGTTTAATATAAGTAAAAAGAAATAAGATGGCACAAAATAACAATCACAACAACTACTATCATCTCCATTTCACAAATAAACTGAGGTTAAAATGGTTAAGTAATTTGTCCAAGATAAAATTGATCACAGTATGAAAAACTTATTAATAACCAAATAACAGTTGAAATAAGGTAGATATGCATGTACTAATGTACCTAGATCATTAAGACACTGTGAGAATAAAAGAAACCTGAAAAAGCATACATATAACAGTTCATACATAAAAAGAAGATACAAAAAGAACAAACACGATGGCGGATTGGGTGGACGTATAGCAGAGAGCTCCGCCAACAACAACACAATACCCAACAGAGCAGGCTCAGGGGATGGTCCCAGAACACTGAACCAGATATAAAGGAATATTTAGAAGGTTGGAAGGCTTACAGCCAGGGGAATTTGTGGAAGAAGCAAGAAATCCATTGCTTTCTAGTCCGGGATGCTCGGTTGCTCCAGGAGCCATCATCTTGGGTGAGACCAAGCGGGGGTAGGATGGGAGCGGCCACAGAAATAAAGGTGTAGACATTCTTTTCTTTTGGTAGCTGTTCATTGGTCCCTTGCTGTCTGTGTACCTCCATTCTGGAGACTATAGGGGTGCCTGAGCTAGTGGACAACCCAGCCCCACCCTCAGAGGGTTCTACTACGCATGTGCACAGATTTCCTCGAAATTTAAAGAGACAGTTTCCAATTAAAAGCAAACGGCCACAGTCGGCCCTGATCTGTTTCCAACTAGAAAAAAGGCCTGAATGGGGATAGTGGAGTGGGACAAGCAGACAAAAGAGGAAATAAGCTGAAAATTTAATCCTACGTTACGTCAAAACTACTAACGGTGGCATCTTGAAATTTTCAGGAAGAAGAGTGAAAAGGAAAGCCCATTTCCTGAACACATCTACCTGGAGGCAATCAGAAAGCATAAAAAATACCAAAATACATACCCAT